CGTTTCCGGTTGAGGATTTGTTACTGTACCCGTCGGTGTTGCTGACGACTGAGTTGAACTCGTGGATGGGCTGGTAGCAGACGTACTGGAAGGATTCGCGGAACTTGAAGAGGAGGGATTTTGGATACGAATACTATCATAGCGATAGCATAAACGGTTTTGATAGTCAACCGCATCGGAGTGGCCAAAGTTTCCCATTGAAACAGAAGGACCTACATTTGTAATGTGTTAGTCTATTCGAAAAGTGTGGAGTTCGGTTATTGTCGTGAGCGTATTGTATCATACCGTCATAGGATCCTGCGTTCCCGGCAGCTTCCCATTGTGCCCACCAATAATCGACCCCGCAATGGTGCATCCTAAAATGAAATAGATGAGAATCAACATGATGGATAGCATAACCCGAGATCGTGGGTTTTCGACTCACCAGAATAACGGGTCCCAGGGACTTATCAGTACATTCGCCATTGTTGGACCGATGTTAGCGTGAGGGTGTACTAAGGAAGATTGTGAATGGTCAGACTGGCAGACCGCAAAACTGGTTGAAAGGAAATGATTCTTACCATGCATCCCCCCTTCTAGTGTTCTGCTCAAAGCAGTATAACTGCGAACCCCTGAAATCAATCCATTAACAACACTGGTGGAAATCCATGAGCCAGGGCGAAAGCCTACAGAGCAATGATGTCACTGTTAGGCAAGTGATTAATAAGTCCATTTTGTAATCGAAAAATATACTTGCCTCTCTCCACACAACTTCCATCAGCTAATCTCCAATTAGCCGCAGGGCCATTTTGGACACAACCTTGATCGGCCGTGCCCATATAGTCTGGCGTTAATACAACAGAGCTTCCAGGATTTCGAGCGTCTTGGGTCGTGTCCCTACGATTAAAAGCGTTATGTGAGCAATTGCATCCATCGTTCGTCTTGTTGCTCTGTGTCTGCAATTACGTACCAGTATGGCAGTCCGGAGAGTCTACCCTCACTAGCGGCGATTAACTCGTCTTCGAACATTTTTACCATGAGACGATGTCTAACCAAGAATCCAGGTGTTCTTTACATATGAAGGACAGGCATATACCAGCATGAGTTACTAGTTAGTGACATTGAAACATAAGCGACACCCGAGCTTCCAACCTACCCGTGAGCTTGCGATTGCATTTGACGATGCATGTCAGCATATTTTCTGACTACTCCATTCCTATATAATGTATTGAGAGCTGCAGATAGTGCAGATCGCTCACTTGCGGACAATGTCTTGATCTCTTTTCGGACCCTGATGCCGGAGCCGCAATTTCCTTGTCCTTCAATAGGATGGACGGCAGAAAGGGTAACCAAGACGATAATCGCGGTGACTAACGTCAACTTAACCATGTTTCTTTTGACGAATTAGGCTTGTCGGCTCGGAAAACTAAAAAAGCAGACCTTACTCAAACGACACAGGTTATGTTTTACACAAGGACTGCTAGAAGTATAAGTAGCTTAATACATAGGGGCTAATTTTAGAAGCGGTTCACCGCTCTGAAACTGGTTCCAATAGTGGACCTGCGCGTAAAGCAACGGAAAGGACATTTGGATTGTGCGATTCGGTCTCCGCGTCACCTCAGTAACAATCACTGTTGCGAGCTGGTGCGTCAAATTAGGGGAAATCCAAATTGTTCTTTGATACTTGTGCTGATCAGCTGTGCAAACTCGTGCTTAGAATTTCCGCGGGATTGATGCTGCTTTTGCTTATGGCACTGAGCTTAGCGGCAATGTCGTTGCAGTTTCTACACACTTGATAATAGGCGTATATGTAATCAAAATAAAACATAATTTTTTACGGTTATGAGATAATTTATTTATGTAATGTGCACTTCTGTGCTTCGGCTTTTTTCGCTGTTGTCATAAGCCGAAAAGTTCTTGGGCCTATGCCAGTGACGCTATCGCAAAAAAAGCATAGATCTAAGACACGCTACTTGAACGATTGAAGAATCGGCATTGCACTCACAATACAATGGTTGTCTGTCATTAAATAAAACATAAAACTGTGGGTCATCATTATGATGCAATCAACGATACATTGGCGCAATTATGATATTAATATTCAGACTGCGGGGCAGAAACCTGTTATCTCATCGTATAGTAAGGATCTCTTCACAATCGTCGAATTCAACACAAGTACTCAAAATCAACGCATTCAAAAAGTCTTTGTACCAGATTATGCAGGAAAGTCGCCACGGCTCATAATTTTGTAATCAAATGATATAATCTATTCTCAATAAATGTAATTTATAGTTAAAGATGATCTAACAAAATCTAAGCAAGTTTTGTGCAGATAAGTCGTCTATTCGAATATACAGTGCCAATAATTTAAACGTTTTTATAACGTCAAGGCTAACAGTGAAGCGAAGGTAAACCCAAATATTTGGGGAAGTCTGGATTCAATGAATCCTATGGCACTCGATTTTTGACCTTCTGCATTACCGCCTTCCGGTTTATTATCCTCCGGCTTCTGATCATCTGACTTTTTATCTTCTGTTGGAGGATTCTCATTGATACGGTTGACAATATCCTCAATAGGCTTGGGAAATTTAAACGATTTCAGTGACTCAACAGACGGTAGAGGTTTTCCTTGATCTTTCAATTGCTTCAAGTATGCAGCGATTGCTTTAAATATACCGTCAAATTGATTAATGTCTTCGCGTTTTATGTTAAATGATTTCAGTTTGTCATCCGGAATAGAGTTGAGGTCAGGTATTACGATATCTGTTTGGTTTGCATTGGCGGAGGGAGATGGACTGGCACGTCCCCTTTGATTTCCCGGTGAACTGCTTGTCGTATTTCTGCCGTCAATCCCGTCGTACCGATAGCACAAACGGTTCTGATAATCGACGGCATCGGTATGGCGAAGATTCCCCATAGTAACAGAAGGGCCTAAATTTTGTGAGCCGTCAGTTTACACTGGTCTCTGTGCGAGCGACTTGTTTGCGATCGTATCACAACTTACCGTTGTATGATCCCGCGTTTCCAGCGGATTCCCATTGTGCCCACCAATAATCAACTCCACCATGATGCATCCTGAAGGAAAGAGTTAGAATATATATCTATATAAAGGTCAAACTAGGCTCGACCATGATGCTGACCAGAATAGGGGGTCCCAAGGACTTATATTTGTATCTGCCATGGTCGGCCCAATGTCAACGTGTGGTTTTACTGAGTGAACACAAGAGGTTGGCAAGTTAGGCGGGATGATTACTTCACAAAATTTTCCCAATACTTACCATGCATTGAGCCTTCGAGTGCTCTTCTCAACGCACTGTAACTTCGAACTGTTGTAAGCAACCCGCTGACAACACTGGTTGAAACCCAGCTAGTCGAAGTAAGCCCTACATCCTCAGCCGTTAGATATTTCTGTATATGCTTCCAAATGACAAATTGACTTACCTCTTTGAACACAACGCCCATCCGCTAACTTCCAACCAGCGGCTGGTCCATTTTGAACACAACCTTGATCGGCGGTGCCCATGTAATCAGGAGTTAAAACCACAGAGGCTTTCGGATTTCGAGCATCTCGGGTCGTGTCCCTGTAAATAGAAAAATCAGTTCAGCAAGGTAGCTGACATTTAAGTTCGAATAGTAGTTCACAAGTACCAATAGGGAAGGCCAGAGAGCTTTCCTTCGCTAGCCGCGACCAACTCGTCTTCGAACATTTTAATCATGAGACGATGTCTAACCAAAAATCCGTCCGTACTGATATAATTGGAAAGATTGTTAGTTCGAACATGCATTTACAATTGCTGCATTAAGAGTTCAACTAACCCATGGGCTGACCCTGCCATCTCGCGATGCATATCCGCATATTTTTTAATGACGCCATTGTTATACAATGTATTCAGCGCAGTTGATAAAGCAGATCGTTCAGCTGCAGACAATGTTTTAATTTCTTTTCGAACTTTGACTCCGGCGCCACAATTTCCTTGCCCTTGAATAGGTTGGACGGCAGCAAAAAGCGCAACCAAGGCAACTAAGGTGGTAGGTAATGTAAATTTCACCATTATTTTGAAGCAATTGGACCAGATCGATGTAATTAATGATTGCTGGCTTATATATGAGGAGCACTTATTATCGCCATTCCGAAGCGGTCCTCGTAATGAACCTATAGGAATTCCAAATTTGGTGGAAAAGCAGCGGACTTTGCTTGCGCTATTCTTAACCTACAGCATCTCGGATTACGGATAAAAATTCAAACAATTGGAAATTCTTGAAGTAGGAACAGGTTTCAGCTTTCGGTTGTTCTTGGTTTTCTAAATGCGGTGCCAGTATATTTTCCCGTCTACAGCGTGATGGCGCGTCGCGAATATCTATTGTGCACTAATATTCCTAAGTAAATTTGTCAAAAGCTTATGTTTACGTCGATTGGTCTCAATTGCGTATAATCAGGACCAACGGCATGCGTATTACCCGTATCATGCGCTGCGAGAGCAATTTCTTCTCTTTTTTCTCAATTTTCTCTATCGATCGGAATTATTTTGAGAGCTTCCAGGTATGACTCCCACTGACGTATCACTGACAGCGCTCTTTGCAGGTTTTCAGTAGCAGCAGAAATTCTAACAAATTGAATGGAAGTAACTCTTGACCCGGCATGGCGAATTAACATCACCTAATGGGGCGCGCTACCAGGTCACCCTGAATTATTTGGACATGAACGACAGAAAGAAGATAAGGATTAGAATTTTGTTATGATGGGAATATGATTTGGCAAATAGAAATAGAAATAAAAATATAAATAAAAATAAAATGAAAGTAGAATTATTTGATATAGTCTGAGATGCTGATGATGGAATCGGGAAGAGCAATAAGCAATTATGAATCATCAATCAAGGATGAGCCCGGTGACTCTCATTCGCAGTCACTTCAAATATAGTCAAATACCACATTGCGCAACAAAGAAATAATATTCTACAACAAAGGAGCTATTCGCTATTGCCAAAGAAAAAAAAATGTCAACAGTTAACCAAGCAAAATGGAGATCCAGGGCATCGATCCCTGTGCCTCTCGCAAATTTGAGTCACTTCTGACTTGCAAAGCGAGCGCTCTACCATTTGAGCTAGATCCCCGATATTGTCGGGACCACTTTATACTAAACCCATAAAGTCGCATGTCCGGTTATATCCTTCAACGGTACTTTACCTGTAAAATAGCAGAATGTCGAACTCGACTGTTATACTTATCTTTTTAAAGAATCTGACGACACTACAATAGATTTTATTGATTAGGGGTTTTCTGTGTGCCACTTCAAGAAACAATTTCTAGACTTATTATAACATAGGTACACTTTGCACAACTTACAATAGGTTTCTGACTGGGTCGGGTGCCTTCCATCATACACGCCATTCTTTCTACCGACAATTTTGCACCATTGGCAGCCTGTTCTCTTCCCAAAGTCAGGAAAATGTTGACCGGTTCGAAACCTAATGTCTGGGAGCTCGTAATTTTTCGTCACATATTGAGTCAACACTTTTTTTCGTGGGGGTTCTTCGTTTTCTTCATTTCGTCTTTTCGATCTTCTACCACCATCAATCTCTCTTGTCATTTCTTCGTCCACTTCACGGGAGAGATCAAATACTAAATTCAGTCGAAAATCCTGGGGGCTATCTTGGAATCCGTCACCACATTTCAGCTTCATCAAAATGTAACTGTTTACTATCGCTGTATCCAGACACCAGAATAACAGTGGCATCCAAGTTCCTCGAACTGCTAATTGAGTGTTGTAATAACCCCGTAATTGGTCGGCTTTGGCCACGCCGCTCATCTGCGTGTTGTAATCGTTAATTACTTTACGAATTCGGGCAGACTCAGTGTAAGCCTCATCGAGGGCCTGCGAAAGCATATTTAATCTCTCACTTGTGAAACAAGGTGCGATAAAAATGAAGTTACCTTCAATGTATTAGCGTTCGCCTCTTGTGTCTTCGCCCGTACTTGTTCAGATCTGGAATCGTCCCCAAAGCCATGAATGGTTGTGAGCATGTAAAGAGGCCAATTATCCATCCACGGTACAAGTAACACCTCATCCACGATGATGCCGTTCAAAATTTTCGAATCTAATTTGTCGGTTTTCTGTACCTTCAACTCAGTCGGCAATTTCGTTCTCTTTGAACCCGATGGACCACAAGCTCCGATCCTCATTTCTCGAAGCTTTTGAAATAAAGGAATCGAGGTGAAATTGTAGTCTAGAAAGACATTCTTCGCTATTTGAAGAGGTAATCTGTTGATTAAATGAAGGACATTGCATCCAGTTTGATTAATGCCGGGTACTTCGAGTACTTCATCAATCCATTGATTTTGGGATGTCATCATGAAAGTGTAGACGTATCCACTGTCGCAAAGAGACAAGATTGTATAACCCTCAGGTATTGTTTTGTTTTTTATGCGAACGGTATGACCGGATCGACTGCCGAAGCGAACGAACATTTCATCTAAACAGACGTTCGAAGAAGGAATATACAATCGCCGAGACGTAGCTTCGATATGATCAGTGAGTGGTTTGATTTTATAAAGTGATTGCTTAGCCGGAGATGGTGTGGAGGGATCTGTGACATGTAGGAAACGTTTGATTTGTTGAAAACGGAACAAAGACATTCTATCCGTAATCGGATGAGTTGGCAACCCCGGATCTTTATTCCAATACTTTTCCACAGCTGACTCCATATGAAGTCCCATGTAAATGACAATAGCTATCCATTCTTTCAACTCAGCGACTGTTAACTGCTTCCATTTTCGAGGGGTAATGTCGGGATTACTGTCCCTAACGTGTCTAAGTTTGATTGAGGCGTATGAATTGGTATTTTGAACGATGGTCTCGAGTACAGGAGCAGGAAAGAATTGTGTAAAGAGTAAAAGAGGATTTACATGTCCAAGTTCAAGGGCCGGTGGGAGTGTAACCTGTCCTTTTCGACGGAATAAATGAGGATGATGAGTTAAAGGATTGAATTCCGGAATAGCTGGGAGCGCGTTCTCAGCACCGCCTCTGATATCTGAATCATCATAATCGCCCTTATATGTATTTCTGGCCGAAAAATCTGCATTCGTATCATCGTCATGATATCCAACAGCTTCTCCTACACAATCAACGTTATCGTTCTCTGTTTGTTGTGATCCATCGGGCCGGCGGCACAAAGTCGCGAGGTAGTTCTCCTCGTATATCAAGTCGTCTGATTCAAATTGCCGATTTCTCGAAGGGCGTGGGGAGGAAGAATGCATGATTTCATTTAAAGATAGGGTTATGACATTAAATATTGAACTAATAACAGATTCATTTGAAACGACGTATCAGAGGTGGCTTTTAGTGTATAGTCGGGCGCCCTAAATTATCGGTGGGAACACTGCGGGAATTGCAGGTTGTGTTAGAGAGAAGTCACGCGGGGCGTCCAGCGGCCCGAATTTGCAAAACCCAGGCAACTGTTAGGAGCCTATGGATACCGGAAAACGGTCAGAGGATACAGAGTACGACAGAGGCAGCATTATCCTGATTATACGGGACACGAAGAATTATATAATGAACTGCTCATTATCCATATCAGCTGTAGATCGCGATCTCTGTTCAGCAAAAAGAAAGTAAGAGACAAAAAAAGTCAAATTTCAATGGTCATATTATTACACCATTATACAACGAGTCTAATTGGTTTGAATCTTAATCTATGGTGATAGCATATTTGTGAACGCGACAGATTTAAAGAAAGGTGTATAGTTTCCGAAACGTTATTCTCTTTCTTGTTCTTCGCGGTTTTTGCATTTTCTGTCTTTCTTGAAACTAAATGTATGGAACTAAGGACTTATGGGTCCCCTATACCGCACCAACTCGCCACACCATCACTTCCCAAAGCAACAAATAATGAGCATAGGCACCTACAAACACTAACATATGCCAGATTTGATGGCTTGAAAACCAAATATCAAATTTACCGGGAAATTTGCATTCCGGAAATCTAGCGACGTATATAACAGCGCCGAGAATATAGGACGCTACTTCTGTGGATGTCAGAAACAGAAGTTTGGAGAGTGAAGGTGTTGATGAAGCTGCTGCAGGGATTGAGGCCGAAAAGAAAGGACTGAAGGAAGGGATAGTGAATAGTGAAGAAATCGAAAAGGGGATTGTATTTGCTGGAGAATGCACAAAGGACAGGGCGCTCAGTTCGTCCCAAATTTGAATAACACTCCAAATAAGCGACACAAAAATCGCGCCCGCAAGTGTAAAGAAAATCAGAGTGCGATGAACTCTGTACTTGTAGGATCGGAAAAATGGGAACCATGGAAAAATACAGCCGATTAACGAAGAAACGCAAGTAATAGTGAGTGGGTAGACTCTAGTTAATGGCTAAGGACAACGAGTGGCATAGAATATTTGTATGTTAGCACAAAATAGAAGGAGAAGAGTGTCTAGAAAGGATACTTACTTGGGTAAATAATATATAATAGAGCAAGGTTGAGAAAGAGCCACATAAAAGTGCGGTAATGCCGAGATAATCTAACATTATTGCAAAACGACGTACTATCAGTTAACTGCGGTGTATTCAACTCCAATCTCGTCCATTTATAATCTCACATCATCCACAGAAACGAGAGATAACGAACCCAAAATAGCCATCGAGTCATACACTTTCATCTTCTCGTGACAGTTAAAAGTATGGAATACGCCCGAACAAAACAAACAGATTGCAGCACTTGTATGATAGATTCCCATCACTACTTTATCTGAAAAGGTGGCCGAAGCAGGCATCGAGTTGAAAGTTTGAAACGTTTGGTAGATCATAAATAAGAAGAAAAGCGAGCCTAAAAAATGCGTGTAGATGCTGCCTGTATATTGAGTCATGAAACAATAAACAGTATGAATAAACATGAAGTGATGTTGAAGTCGTAACGATGTCGAGGTTGCATTTACCTGTTTCATTGTGCAGATGGAACAAAGAGGCAAAGCATTCTCGAAAATTGTACCAGGCTCGGTATCTATAAAAACAGAGAGCAGCGTTATATGGAGCACCCGATTAGAATCCACATGTAACGGAATACGAACCCTGTATGAATGTATTGATTATCTTGCAAGTGTTCCGGAATTTCTGGGGCAAATTAATACATCAGTACTCACACCGGACGAGAAAAGGTTGACGATTCCTTAATTATAAAAAGCACTCACCATCGAATTTGTAAAATTTGAGATTTGTGCTTGCTGTAATCGGTTTGCTTTCGTGAGAGCAACATTTCGATTGTGCAGATGCGGATTTAAGCACTTCCTGGTCGCTTTGCCGCGATCCCGCATCGGTTTTATCTTTGAATCCAAGCGATTTTAGACCACGCAGCGGGAGAACTGCAAATTCAAACATAGAAGCTGCAAATTTAGCAACCAAGTTTCTCTTAAATTTCTTCTTCTGTTCTTGTTGTCGTTTGTAGATATTTTTCAAAGTCTTTCTGAGGCATTTGTTTTGCTCAGACAGTTCTAATTCCAATTTTTTCCGAGAATCCTGACATAGTTGCTGGTAGCGGCTGAAATATTGGTTGGCAAGATTTACAACATTGGGGGGCGGTTTTGATTCGATTGGAGTAATAGCACTACTCAAATTATGTGCGGAAACGTGGGTTTTTAGTTGTCTTGAGGTGTTTAGCTGAGGAGGAACGCATTCAGAAGAGTTGGAACTGTTGTGCTTTTCATATGCGAAGATATTGTCGGCAGAACTGTATCTGGAATCAGTTGTTTTTGGATGTGCTTGTGCAGTATGCGATGGAGTACGCGGTGCCATATCGACTGGGTTGGATTCTGTAGATTGCGTCGCGTTATTCAAGTGTGGGGTATATACTATAGATAATTTGTGTGTAGAAATTGCAGTGAGAAGAAATGTATGTAATGTACTGTGTGGTATTTATCTATGTATGGTATATATATCTGGATATTGTTGGGGAGATGATGACTTATGGGTATGAGATGGCGGAGTGGGGTTAAAAATAATACTGGAGGTAAGAATAAAGACGCCGACTGCGGTCTATGTCGGAGGACGACAGTGCACAAATGCTATGAGCAAAGGGAGGAGGAAGGGAGGTTGGATTGCAATTTTATCCTCAATTTTTT